AAGAACATCTTTCTTCGTACTATGCGCCCTCTTCTCTTTTTCGATCTATTCCCTATGTACAGAGGAAAATGTTATCCCAATACCCCGGCAGGAATTTCATATTTTGAATGTAATTTATGACTTTGTCGAGAGTGCAGGAGGATCTGAGTTGCCTTTTTACTATATTTGAAAGTGCTGGATCAGGTTTGCCGGGGACGAATCTGAGGCGAACAGAGAGTAGTACTTCACTCATCATTTCGCGTTTCGATCTGAATCCGATACTCTCCTCCTCCTCTTCCTCGAGGATCTGTGGATCACCATTGCGGTTCTCAATAGGAGAAAGAAAATAGTGGTGAATATGTTTGATGATCATTCTACGCTTCGCTTCACTCAAAGATCCAACTCGTCCAGAGTATCGGAAGGTTGTCTTAATTGGTTCGCACAATGTCTAGGTATGTGCTAATCAATAGTTCTGTGAACCATTCAAATGGGAATTGGAACTGGGAAGTGGGTTAGCTATTTGATTCACACTGGACAACAAAAAAAAACAATATTGGACCTGGAAAGATCAGTCACTTCCAGCTAATTCACGTGATACCAATTGGGTAAGAGGTTTATATATCCTAGATTGAAGTGTTCAAACCGTCGAGTTCGGTTGTCTTTTAATCCATGTTAAAAAATTGAATGTGCTTCTTGGAGTCAACACATGGTTAGGACGCCAGTAATTAGATAACGCTATTGGTATGAATGGGGTTTGTTGGGTTCTATACAACTGCACAGGTGGGTTGAGGTTAGTGGTGCGCAGAGACACAGTTTGACACTAAATAATTTTCCCTTTGTTGAGGAAGCAGTGCATTTGTCGTGTTTTTACCTATGAGGTCCCAGGTTCCATCCACCGAACAGTAAATAAATTGGAACTAATTATGATAAAGCTGAAACAACTGCACAGGACTTCTCAATTTTGAAGATCACTTTTTACCAATTCTGTACACAATTCACTTCAGTCGATCATCAAAATACGCCGTATTCTGCTGCCTCTCTGTAACAGGAAAAATGTTTGATTTCGCAACGTGTGCTTTTTGATATGGCAAATTATCGACAATAATGAAGAATGAATTAATTTTTGTGAGCAGTTTTGGAAAGCACTACACGCTTTTTTCCAATGACTAGTGAAAAGCAGTTGAGAACTGGGGAAAATAACAAAAGGAAAGTTGACTGTCTATATATCTCTATTGAGCAGTAAGAATATGTTAACCCCCCNCCCCCCCGCATTTGCAAACTATTGGAAGATGTAGATGTTTGAAAGCAGTCGGATGAAGTAGTATGAAAAAATAACACCGCTCTGTGAGTCTATCTGAGAATGAGGAATTTTCTGTGCGATCATCTAACCAGGATATTCTGATTGCATACGTTCGTTTCTCTGCAAAAACCCGAAACTTTATCAACTTATCAGGATTTCGACATTCACGTTTTCTCATTTTCGGGCAAATGAACTCGGGGCTAAGTTGAGTAAGTTTTGGGGACTGATGAAATTCTTTCATACACGGAGGAAGAGAGTCAGTTTGTATCTCTCACAATGTGGATGTTTTTTTCAAAACTTACTGATTTGGTTGTCACGCTTTGGGTGAAACCAGATCAGGAGGCATCAAACGAGCATTCCGGCTGGAGAAGGATGTGGTTAGAATTGTGAGGGAGATTTGGTTAGATCTCGTATGAAAAGATGCCAGTCAATAGGTTGTCATTTGAGCAGATGGGTTTTCAAACAAGAAGCAAACGGGGGAAATGTAACTACAAATCCACTTGATAAATGTTGAGGATTTTTCGATGGATTGATCAGGCCTGCTTTTTTACTAGGCAAATCCCACTGAGCTCCAACGCATACTCCTATTCGTTGCTGACACTACCTTAATCTTCTCCTAGGAGCTCTCATAATAGTCTAGACGTGGTGGCTATTTATTTGTGAATTCCGATGAAGTCATGTTTACTAGAGAAACGGTAATGAGTTCAGTGTAAATCCAATGCGATATCGACGATACTTTAGAGAGCGACCGAATAATGAATGTTTCAACGATCCGACAGAGCTCCTAATGATGAAACAAATAGGCAAACAAGCTCGTTTTCAGTATCCTAATCATGTCATTACGACACAATAAATATGATTAGTAACAGAGAAGGATTTACAAGCAAAAAACGAAAGTAATTAAAATATTCAGTTTGTCATAATTGGTCCCCAATTATCATTTGCTCCTATGTTTCATGACAGGTCATTTGTCGGCACTCCGGCCATTGGAGCTTGAGTGCTTGCGTAAATTATTTCTGAGCCCACAGAGGGGGGTTGCGAAGGCGGATGGGAACTGCCTCCGCTGTGGCTAGAATGCGAAACCGCAAACCTTTTCAACTTCAAGTGAATCCAACCAATCGCACTTCATTGGAAACCCCACAAGACTATTAATGTGTTTCGGCCGTTAAACGTCACTCATTGAACCGGATCTGTCTAAACCCCCTCCAGTCTGAATGAACTCACTTCCCCGTAAACAAACAAAAGTACTTTTTGAGTGGGTTACCGAGCGAGGATGAATGGGTGGGCCGTTCTCCCCCCCCCCCCACACACACCCGTTCCACCTGGGAACGTTTTGTTCGTGATCGTTGATCGAGTGAATGATATGAACGAACGAACCAGGAGTTAATTGACCTCTGTCGGTCGGTCGGGTAAGGAAAAGAATCACGTCAAGGTGGATCGATAGACCGTCCCGTTTTAGCTCTAAACAGGGGTCGGAACGCTTCTGTCACGTTTACAATGTGATTAGTGTCAGAGGCACCAGGCACTCTTGATGGTTTTGGGTGTGGGTTTTACTCCTTGGGAGATCATTAATTCCCCACAAGATAATGCATTCATATGCGATGGAAATGTTTGTGTAGCTCAGGGGTAAGGGTTTGAAGTCCCGACCCGACTGATTGCGGTTCGAGTCCTGACAGGGACACAGGTACGCACTGCTGACGAGTCCCAAACAGGACGAAACAGCTGTCTGGTGCTCTTTGTTGGTTATCGCAAACATTTCCATCGCAACTTGTGATTCTCTTAATTACTCCACTTCCAAAACATGCAGGGTGATGCTCACGGAAGCGCTCGGACAGATGCCTGATCGTGCGGCCAACATACTTTGCTCCACAGTAGCAAGTCGAAGAGTAAATACAGAAAGAAGCAACAGTCTATCCTTCAACCGTAGATATACCAACGGGCTAGATGTGA